AAATAGAAAAGTTTTTTCACAATGTTAGGTGATATGGTTGACTGAATTTCGCAAAAAAGCAAAAGTTTTTCTTTCTTACAGAAGGTCAAGTATAAATATCTATGAGTTAGACTCGGTTAGAGGGTTATAATGATGTCCGAAGTAAGTAAGGCCACTTATTCAAAACGCTTAGATCTGTATGCAAATTAGCGTAGTCCGGTAAGTTTCTAGTTATATCTGAAGTTAAATTGCTTGTATTAGCTTAAAATGTACGTAGATATATTTGTAAATTATGTTTAGTATTCAAACTTCTATATTATTACACGCTTTATATTAGCTTCACCTGTATGTATGTAACCGACTCCTTCGGACTCGATTTTGACCCACTTTTAACGGACAGATTTAATTTAAACTTTCGCACCTGTCAAAGATCGATGACAATGCAATAATCCGAAAAAAAAAATGAAGAAAAAAAAAAAAATTAACTAAAAAGTGAAAAATAATTCCTAATTTAGGCTGAAAATGGTAATGAACAAAAAATACTGGTATTATTGTGAAAAAGCGTGGGGCGCATTGTGCCATATTTTTCGTCTATCGAGCAAACGTGCTTTAAAAGCGTGTTTTTTATTTTTTTTAAACTTTTATTTATTTTATAATTATAGTAGTTCTGAAACATAATCTAAAACTTAAAAATAATGTAAAGCAAGTAGACGGCAAAATTATATTTACAAATATTCAAGAGGCCATTAAGTTAAATCTATTTGATCTTTTTTGTCAATTAAGTCCTACGCTGCTTCAAAGGAATATTTCAATTAAGATTTTTTAATTTCCGTAAAAAAATTCTTAAATGTAGAGATGTTATATTTTGAAGAAGCTTTCTTTTAAAGTGTTTGCCATAGGCTATATCTGGTAATCTGATACACCCGTTCACATATACACACAGTTATTTATAATTAGTGAAATCATAAAATGCATTATATTTTTTTGTTAAATAAAATTATATGCAAGTGCCAGTATTTATTTTACTTTCATACCATTTGCTAAGATTAATTATGACACTTTCAAAATTATATTAAATTTAAACTCGTTTGAATTAATATACAAATAATAATATAAACGTAAATCTAATAAAACTTTTAATACTTGAGGCAGAATATTTATTACTCATAATAACTGTGGTAATAATTTGTGCATAATTATAATAAAAAGGATATTGATAGCAGCAAGAACAGTACACAAAATAATAGACAAAAAATTATATATTCATTTTAAATATTAATTTAAATTTGAATTTTAATAACATATAATTTAATAATTAAACTAGAGGTTAGATAGATCTGTGTAATAATATAGGAACTTCAAATACAATCTTTGCGTCCATCTAGAATCTAGATTGTAGATAAAAAAACATTTTTAAAATGAAAAACATAATTAAACGGCTGATGTTTACAAACATTGTCAAAATGAAGAAAATCAAATCAATCTAGGACTTTTCAAGTTATGAATTTTTGAAATGTTTTTATAATTAAAAAAAATACATATATACTATATGAAATGCACGCTTGGCAGACCTGCAGTGTTCGTTTAAAAATCCTGCGAAATGATAAATAATCGCTCGCTAATGTCGGTAAAAATTTCAAAACACAATAACAATATAGTCATACTAGGAATAAGTGCATTAATTATATCTATAATACTTTTCCTCAGATTCGCGGACTTCAACGCACTGTAATGGTTAAAATCAGTAAGTAAAATGTTTGTACATCTACCTACTATCATAATGCAGACATCTGAGAGCCCCAGAGGCAGACACGAGAACGATTTTTTTATGTAATAGGAGGCAAATGGGCAGTAGGTTCACCTGATGTTAAGTTATACCGCCGCCCATGGACACTCACATTGCCAGAAGGCTCGCAAGTGCGTTACCGGCCTTTCAAGAATTGGTACACTCTTTTCTTGAAGGACCCTAAGTCGAATTGGTTCGGAAAAACTGCAGCTCAAACGGTGGTGCGCGGCAAAAACTGCCTTAGCTCAGTTGTGGAACGACAGACGTCGAGGTGATACGGATGGTATTTTGTATTTGACGTCCGATAATGAATATAGATTTATTTAAATTTAAACCCCTGTAGTTTAAAAACGCATACTTTGCTGCGTTTCTAAGCTTTAATTCACTAAGAAAATTTTGTCATATTGATCCGAAATTGAATTTCTATCAATACGAAATAAGAGCAAATCATATATTTACTCCCTAGCTATTATAATAAACAAACTATAAGGAAGAACAGTAATGACCGGTATTAAGATATTTTCTAGCAAATGTCTGCGCAGTTGACGTAATTGCATACGTATTATATGTATGAATTTGCAATTATATGTGGCCAGATGTGAATTTAAATTAGAGGCATTAGGGAGAAAAAACAGCCATGCAAGCCGTTACATCAAATTGTATTTAGTAGTGTTTTGCTGGAATTTAAATTGTATTTGACGTAAATGTAAATCTAATATATATAATTCTCGTGTCACAATGTTCGTTCCCATACTCCTAAACTCGACCGATTCATATGAAATTTTTTATGCATATTCAGTAAGGCTACTATTTATCTTTCAAACCCCTAAGTGATAAGGGGTGCCCACCTAAAAAAAATTTTTTTTTTTGATAATATGAAAAAATACATACAACCCTAAATTTTCCCCCTCGACGATCAACCCCCATTTTTATTGTAGATAGTTATTTTTATTGAAATAAAAAAGAAATCCTAGAAATAATATACATGGCAAAGCGACGTTTGCCGGGTCAGCTAGTTATTTATAACATATTAAGAAATTTGGATTAAGAGGTAATCGTCGAAACTGAAGCCTTTTAAGGCTAAAGACAAATCGTACTATACATGTAATCGAATAATTTTGTGACCGCTATAATTATTATATAGCTCTCTAAGGTATAATTAATCATCAAATAAAATTCTATTAAAAAAAAATTATATGTCAACTTTACAACCCAAAGCTTTTTGGTAAGAATCTACTTTCCGTTTAGACTGGTACTGGACTGTAACTAATTTATTAAAAATAGCAACCCTCTTAATAGTTTAGAGATTTATTAGACAGGACAAATATGTTTAAAGACAAAAAGCTTATATTACCAAGATAAATTTACACAAATTTTTTTCAAAAGTTGTAAATTTGATAATGTTCTATTTCCGGTCAACGACCTCAAACATCAAAGTAAACAGTTGCCGAACTGAGACAAATATCTTAATGATATTCACTCGACTAATAAAGATTTGATTTTCAGCTCCGTCACTCGAAGTAATTCTATAATGGGCTATTGACTTTAACGCTACACATTTATATTTATATTAAATAAATATCTGGACTGTTAATAATATCGTATTTACAAAATATAATAATAAAGAAAAAAATTATTAATTAATTTAATTTTCCCTGTGGCAGTGATCTGACAAGTTAGGCATCACGGCTTGTCACGCCAAAAATGTATGCCGCTTTTGAGACATGCGCTTGTATCATACGCCTCCCCACCGTCAACGTGCCAAGCTACTTGAGCCGATAGCAAGAGACGATGGCAAAAAACACGGAAATAAATTCTAAGGGTGGGTACTGGCATGATCAACATTTCAGACACGTGGCCCCTTCCCACTACCATGGAACCAACTCAGATGCTGGTCGGCTTCTGACGGCTGAAAAAAATAAAGCTCAAATACAGGGGCTGCTCAGAATAATTTTGTCCCATTCGGTGTCGAGACCTCGGTCCGGGGGCCTAGCGCTTTAAGGCTTTTAAAGAAATTTCAAAAAGGTTAGTCACACAAGGAGACCGAAGATCTGGCAGCTACCTCGGACAATAGAATTATCTAGCAATTCAAAGGGGGAAAGTATCTTCGGAACCTTGCCTAAAGGGACTCCTTTTACTGATATATTTTAGTTTATGTTAAGTTAAGTAATTTATTTCAATGTATATTATTTTAATATTATAGTTAGTAATTAGTTAGTAGTTATGAAATATAAAGCATCTGTAATTATAGACAATTAATTTATTAAATTATGTAAATAATAAAGAAATAATATTCGATTATATTATGCGTAAAATATTTTTAAACCACATGACTAAGTTTACTACGCAGCGGGTTCTTTATTAATTTCCTGGCGACGCTTTGTTTAGGACAGAAGATACAGTTTTTTACAAAAAACCCTTTTTTTTTTTTTTTTTTTTTTATACAGAACATGACAAGTAGAGAAGATAAAAATGTACACGATAAGACCCTGTATAAACCGCAACTTTTGTAAATAATATAAAACAAAATTAAACAAACTCAAATCAAATCATCGTATGTATTACAAAAACAAATCGTTCACACATTATAATGTCATCGATGACACATTAATTAAGGATTTACCGTAATAATTAAAAAACTGTAAATCCAAACTGACAAATTAAATAAGGATTACAAAGTTTGTGGTATGTAATTTTTTGCAGACAATTACCGTGTTCATTCCATTTCCTTTAACAAAGGATATACTGGATCGAGGACAAAGAAAACTTAATAATGTGTAAAATTACAACAAATATTGTAAAAACGTTTTGAGGCTAATTGCTCGCTTTATATACAGAATTTTAATCACTTTTTTGAAAATACAAATAAATTTTAATATCTTTTAATTATCAGTTATCAGGGAGTAAAACTGTTTATACTAATTCATTTAATAAGCGTTTAAAATCATCCAAAAATAATGAAAAAATGTGCATTTTTATTTAATTAGCTTCCAGAAGGTTATCCGTTTGACCAGTGGTAATATTGTTGGAATTAAATAATACTTATTTAGGTTTATAAGCTTTAGTTTCTCGGAAAAAAAAATGGCTTTAATCTGGGAGTCATATGGAATATCACATAGATAGGAATGATTAGGGAAACAAGAAGACCCCTCATAGGAAAGATTATTTACCAAGGCAAGATTAGGAAACATACCAAACACCCACACCAAAGATAGCTCCTCAGCTGGATGCTGAAATGCAGCAATCAGATTTAGAAATAGTCACCCAGTGCTCCCACATATCAAAACCACCAGACTGGCAAAGAGTTCCCATGTTACGCCATCCAAAAAAAAGAAAATTATCCTCCACACCTTCTCCCGAATTAATAAAAACAACAAATAGCTTTAGCGGACTTCCGATAGATCAGCCGGAATATAGGGCGAGAGATGCAAAAGACAAGAAAACTAATAAACCTCCCCCTATAATCTTGTACGGAATTGAGGATGTTCATAAACTCACTGAACTCCTAGAAACTGCAACAGATAGATCTAATTTCTCTTATAAGATTATTAGCAGAAACCAACTTAAAGTTTTATCAGTGAACCTGGAGATATACAAGAAGGTAATAACTGTTATACGAGAACATGGACTAATAGGACACACCTTTAATAGAAAAGACCAAAAATGCTACAGGATCGTTATAAGAAATCTTCACCACACTACTCCTACTACTGCTATCAAAGAGGCCATTGAAGAGAGTGGCAACACAGTAGTAGGCGAGATTATTAATGCCAAATTTGGTCCCGACAAAAAACCCACTTCTACCTTTTTTGTAAATTTGCTTCAAGGTCCTAATAATGGAGCTTCTTGGGATATTAGATTTATATACCATCAAGCTGTTACTATTGAAGAACCCAGAAAAAGGTCCACTGTAGTGCAATGTCAAAGATGTCAGCAATATGGACATACTAAAAACTATTGTATGAAACCATATCGCTGAGTCAAGTGTGCTGGACCGCACAAAACTTCGGAATGCACAAAAGGGGATCGCAATACACCTGCTTTATGTGCGTTGTGTTTAGGACCCCACCCAGCAAATTATAAAGGCTGTGAGGTTTACAAGGAAATCCTATCAAGGAAAACCACGCAACACTTACCACGTAAACATAAGAAATTTGAGTATAAACCTCAAAAAGATAAGGAAGAAACTGATAATAAAACCTCTGCTAATCAGAATAAAGAGGAAAATGAACCGCTGCAGGAGCAGAGGAAAGCACATGAGCACAAATCGTATGCCGATACAGCCAGATATAAGGTACATCAAAATAATACAATCCATCAACCTGACTCTTATAAAGTCATAGAACAAATGTTTATACAACAATCCCAAAAGATTGATACTGTGTTACAGCAAATGAGTACATTACTTGTACTCATTGCAGTACTAGTCACTAAGTTAACAAAATGACTGCACTAAAAATAGCTACATGGAACATCAATGGCTTGGCACCCAACATCGATGAAGTGGAAATATTGATCAGTCTTCATAGTCTAGACATTCTCCTAATTTCAGAAACACATATGACAACCAGCAGCTCGATAAGAATTAAAGGATATAAGATCTATTCCACAAATCATTCAGACGGTACAGCTCACGGCGGGACAGCAGTAATAATTAAAGCCACTGTTAGACACCATGTGTTACCAAACTACTGTACCGAACATATCCAGGCTACCACAGTAGCAGTCAGTGACAGAAATGGAGACTTTAATATATCATCAATTTATTGTCCCCCAAAACATAAAATAAGTGAAGCACAGTTTTCCGACTACTTTGTAAGCTTGGGATACAGATTTATTTCTGGGGGTGACTGGAATGCGAAGCATTCGCACTGGGGCTCTAGATTAATAACTACACGTGGAACCTCACTCACTTCACTTCAGCTCCCGAAGAAAAGTATAGATAAACAGTTCCTGACTACCGTCTCAACTCCGGAACCAACACACTGGCCCACAGACCAGAACAGACTGCCAGACGTTCTAGACTTCTTCATCACAACAGGGCTGTCTCGACTTTTCTTCAATGTTGAGTCATGCCTCGATAGCTCATCTAACCATGTTCCTGTAATATTGACAGTGAGCACCACTTTTCTTAAGAAAGAAGCTCGGCAAACATTGTACAACAAATACACAGACTGGGATAGCTTCCGGGAAATAGTTGACACAGAGCTAAGCCTAAAAATAGCACTTAAAACAGAAGAGGATATTAAAGAAGTTACAAAGCATTTCACCACAACAGTTCAAGCTGCCTGCTGGAAAACCTCTCCGGAGCACTTGAATCACAGGTCACGGCAAAATACGTAAGTTATCGTTTGAAATAAAAGAACTGATTCTGAACAAAAGAAGACTGCGAAGAGTATGGCACACTATCAGGCTTGCAGTAGATAAAAGAGCTCTTAACAAAGCAGTCAAGGATCTTAAACTTGCCATAAAAAATGCAAGGGACAAAACTATGGAATGTTATCTAGATTCTTTAACTGCAACAAATGCTACAAACTACTCTCTATGGCGAGCTTGTAAGAACTATAATAGACCGATAGATCCCAAACCGCCGTTACGGTTGCAGAATAACACTTGGGCAAGGACAAAACAAGAAAAAGCTGACGCCTTCGCTGTTCACTTAGCAAAAGTATTCACGCCTAATGAAGCTGACCCAGACACTGATGATTCCTTCATAGATTCGGTCCTATATCAAGACTTCCAGCTCGATTTGCCGATTAGGCCTACAACGCCGAAAGAAGTCGTGGCCACAATCTCAAAATTTGAGGACAAAAAGGCTCCCGGGTTTGATTTAATAGACAAAAAAGTCTTGAAGGAACTTCCCAAAAAAGCCATAGTTTTTCTAACCATCTTATTTAATGGCATAATAAGAACTGGACACTTTCCATCGCTGTGGAGAGTCTCACAAGTAATTATGATACCTAAAGTAGGGAAGCCAGTGAACGAACTTAGCTCATACAGGCCGATTAGTCTGCTAACCGTAACGTCAAAACTTTTTGAGTCAGTCCTACAGCACAGATTATTGGAGGAGATTCATCAAAGAGCCATAATCCCGGACCACCAGTTTGGTTTTCGCCAGCAGCATGGCACTGTGGAACAAGTCCATAGAATCTGCTCTGTAATAAGGAAGGCACTAGAGAGAAAGGAGTGCTGCTCCTCTGCCTTCCTAGACGTGCAGCAGGCGTTTGATAGAGTATGGCACAAAGGTATCTTGTATAAAGTGAAAACTCTTCTACCCTGCACATTCTTCCCCATCATTAAATCTTATCTAACAGAAAGAATATTTCAAGTAAGAAAAGAAGATTGTACATCGCCATTTCACTCAATCAAAGCTGGAGTACCGCAGGGGTCTGTCCTGGGCCCAGTCTTATATACCATTTACACATGTGATTTACCACAAAGCGAACACGTCACATTAGCAACATTCGCAGACGATACTGCTGTACTGGCATGTAGTAATAGCCCAATCGAAGCTTCAGACTTCCTACAGACTGGATTGCAAGAAATTGAAACCTGGCTTTCAAAGTGTGACAAAATCCGTTCATGTAACCTTCACTCTCCGTAGAGGAGACTGTCCGCCAGTAACTCTGTGCAATCAACAACTTCCGCAAGAAAACTGTGTAAAATACTTGGGAATACACCTTAAGAGAGAAGAAATCAACCTAAAATACAGAGGACTCTACTGGCTTCTTGGCAGAAATTCAAAACTGTCAGTAGATAATAAGCTACTCATCTACGAAATGCTCTTGAAACCAATTTGGACATACGGGATTCAACTATGGGGTTCGGCGTGTGACTCTAACATAAGTATCATACAGAGGGTTCAAAATTACATCTTGAAACAAATATCCAACTGTCCGTGGTTTATAAAAACATCGGAGATTCATGAGCACCTCAAAATCAGGACTGTCAAAGAGGAGATCAAGACTGGAGTATGAAATACAGAAAAAGGCTAGAAAAGCATCCTAATAAGCTTGCCACGCAACTAACCATTCCGGACCTAATAAATAGGCTTAAAAGGCGACAAATCCTAAGTCTTGATAGACACGGTTGAAAGAGAAGCAGTCTCGATGGAGATTTTGCTCTGAACGTCTAACAGCTCTCAACACATCTCATAGTCTAGCTAACTGATTGTAAGATAAAGAATTATATATAAAAAAAAAAAAGTTTCTCGGAACGTAGATGTGTTTTTTAATAATTATAATTTATTGCAAGAATATGGTACAAAAATGTGTCACAATGCCGCGCAAATTTGTCTTTAATTATATTTTGTATTCCGTCTAAAGTTCCAAGCTTAATCAAATTCGATTCTGTACTTTATGAGAAATGATTTATACGTATTGCTAGAGGACAAAATATAGGTAAATAGTGTATTAATGAAATGAAGTGCAGACTAAAAATTACACAATTGGTCGCTTTTAATGTATAGTATTATGGTTCTTGATTAACATTTTTATACTACATGTTTGGGAACATGATGAGTTACGTAGATAGTAGTGTCCGTAACAGTAGGAGTACTATTTTAGGTCTGTGCATATATTTCTGTATCTGTTCGTGATAATTTATGTTTCTAATAGTGAAGTAGGTGATCAGCCTTCAGTACTGGCACACGCCGTTGATATAGATCTAAGACATGCCGGTTTCCTAAAGATTTTTTCCTTCGCCGTACTAGTGCGTGTTAAATGTGACTGAAAGTCCTATGTAGCACCGCCGGAGCTCAAACCTACGACCTCAGGAATGAGAGCCGGACGCTGAAGTCATCAGGCCAACACATACTTATTAATTATAATTTTTAGAAATAGCATAGGTACGTAAAAACACTAAAATTTAAAAACAACTATAGATGTAGGTTTTCATTTGTAGTTAATTTTTTCACAATTTAATAATATATCATTATTTATTCTTATCAAAAATGCATGCGATGATATCTCTTAAATAAAATTTTATACTTTACAATTTTTTTCCCTGATTACAAAAACTTGGATTGAGTGTAAGTAATGCGCAAATTAACATAATTTCAGAAACACAATTAATGAGTTCAAATCATGTACAATTCGAAACAAAAGACATAAAAAATGTTAATTGGACAGAGTCACGCCGGTATCAATCGGGCCGAATATTTGCATGGCTTTTAGATATGCCACGACGATTACGCCGAAACGTACTGTCGAGTCAAAAAGGGGTTTTCTCGTACAAGCAAAAATTTTTTAAACCCCTTCCTACCTTATTTGGACCAAGAGAGTTTCTTCGTGATAAACGCTTCTCGGAAACTGAAAGATGTTCTGAATTTTAGAGTAAATTATGGCGAAGAAAAACTGTATATAAAAATTCATCATAGGCTTAGGAATTCATTTACATACACATTTTCACACATATATTGATATATTTATGGTTATATCTACTAAAACACTAGGTCAAGTGGGCAATAGGTTTAGTTTAGAAGAAATATTGTTACTTTAAGAACATCAGAGGTTTTGTACAACATATTTTATTATAATTGTAAAACAAAATTGAATACTCCATACAAAATCGAATAGATATTCTTTTGTTTATTAAATCTTTTTTTATTGTATTTGAGTGTACTTTTACCATAGTATCGTCAGATTCGTCAGCACTCAGTCGTTACACGTGATACCCACGCAGCGAAGCGTGCAGATTTTTGTGAATTCACCTTTTTTGAATAAGGCACCTGTTATAAGGACACTTAAAGAAACAACTTGGAAATGTTTTTATCTATAATTTAATATTTATTATTATAGAAATAATAGTATATAGTATTTAAAACAATCAGATTTAAAATCCTTTATATATACGGCTTGTGTACTAAAAATATTTTGTATTTTCTAAAAGTTATCTGTTCTATACGGACACTTTTGCGGTTTATGTAGTCAAAGAAGGATACTCTAGGGTTATTTTATTATAATAGAAAATATTTTTTCTAGTATTATATTATTTATAATGTAGTACTTGAAGACGTTCAAGTTTCTAAAGGGTAGGACAGTAATGCGGTAAGCCTGCGAGTGCACACATACATTACAATGTATGGTGGATGTGTGACGAGTATTTTCACTTAATAAATAAGTATTTGTTGTATTTACTATGACTATATACAAGCTATAGCTATAGACTATAGCACAAGCTTCACCTTAAACAATAGGTCGCTGGTTCACCAGCATAAACTTCGTGTATTTTGACAAGATTTTTGCTATGTGTAATGTTTGCTGTCTGATGTTTTGTTGCCTATGAATAAATAATCGTTATAGTCAATTAACATACAACCCTTATGTATTAAACCTTTCTCGATAATCTCACTATTAGTGAACAAATCCGTGAATTAGTTTTAATATTATCGCTTTCATATAAGTACAGCCGCGGCCGAGAAAAATCGGTTTATAATGTGTAAGCAAA